TCAGAGNTCAGTTTGTACTTCAAACACTCTTTATGGAATTGAGTCACATATCACTCACAGGATTGTTATACTATATAGTATATGGGAAAGGTAAAATTTCACTCACATGGAACACTGTCATCCTTAATAGCGGACATCGATGTTTCAAAATAAGGCACTTGTCTTGCCTCTTTAGCACCAATCTGAAATTGGTTGTTTTCTTTTATTGGAAGTTTCCCACATTTTTTGGAGAGGTAAAAAGCAAGAACTTTTTTTCTCAACAATTCAGCCCTTTTGAAAATATATCCCTTTCAATCTGAACAGGATTTTTATGGCTGGAATTGAATTGAATAAGCGAATGAATATCTACTCATGTCATCGTGATATGAGTCGATTCAACTCATTCATGACATGAAGTCGTAGTGTCATGAATTGTTTCAGTGCTTCATTGTGATGTTATTCAGATCGTTGCAGAAGAGGCAATAAGACATCATCGATGTTCGCCATCAAAGATGACAGTGTTCCATGTAAGTGAAATTTTCACTCTTTCATCTCTTTTGCAGCAATTATGTGAATTATATATGATTCTGAGTACAAACTGAATAGAAAAAAATGTTTTTGAATAATTTGAAGTTCATATAAAAGTAGTTGGTACGAAAGTATCTTTTCATGTAATTCAATGTATATATGAAGGTAGTTGTTTTGAGATGACTGTTTCTTTCAGGTACTCCTTTTTCAGATACTCAGGTTACTGAGAGTACCTAAATTCTTTGCATGATCTACACATCTTCGTCAAGAGTTAATTTTGAAAATGATTGCTTTTTTCCTTCCTTTGGAAGTTTCTCACATTTTTTGAAGTAAAGCAGAAAAGTAGAAAGCCACATTCTTCCTTGCCCATCTTCAACTTCAATCCATATTGAAAAAAGTAATAGGAACAGGGAACAAACTTAATAAAGTTGTTTTCCCCCGTAAATTATTGTTTCAGAGCAAATGCGATAGAGATGCCTTATAGTTATGCAACTAATTTCACTTCAATTCATCTCTAGTCTTGAGTAACTTACTCTTACTTGAATACGATGGAATAGGGTAAAAGTAAAGTTGAACAATTTTTGGAGCATTGTTTCGATATTTCACTAATCCGAAATTTCAACTGTCTAAATCACATAAATTTACTGGTTATGGGTATATCAACGTCATCTTTTTTCATATCTGACAACATATCTGAAATAAAATAAGTATTTGTGATTGTTAGCAACTTTCAATACAACATAATGTAGAAAGTCACCTCTAGTTTTGATCGAGTTACTTATCTTTCAAACATATCTACCTATTGAATATTTTGCATCCCTCATTGGCTTTTTTTCAGGAATTAGTAGATTGGTAACTCATATATACTTAATGTAAGGAGTTGAAACTAGATAGGTTAGGGTTGTTGATGGCTTTTGGTAGTTCTCCTACCTGTTTTTCTACCTGAGGGTTGTTAATGGCTTCTGGCGGTTCTCCTACCTGCTATGGTTCATTATCAATTTGTGGTTGTCTTTGGTGGTTGTTTTTAATTATTGTTTTCCAAATCCTTGTGATGTTTAGTGAGTCATCCCTTTTGTTGATGAGGCCTTGCTTTTTGATTTCGATAGCCCCGAGTATACCCATAAACGAAGCCCTAGCCACCATTAGAACTGATCATAGTTTTCCGCAACATATCACGGATCTAGCAGAACACTGCCTTAAAAACACCTATTTCATATTTGACAATCAGATCTATAAACAGGTAGAGGGAGCTCCGATGGGTTCCTCCCTATCGCCCGTGATCGCAAACCTGTTCATGATGCACTTCGAGAAAGAAGCACTATTTTTTTTCTTTTATTGGAAGTTTCCCACATTTTTTGGAGAGGTAAAAAGCAAGAACTTTTTTTCTCAACAATTCAGCCCTTTTGAAAATATATCCCTTTTAATCTGAACAGGGTTTTTATGGCTGGGATTGACTTGAATAAGCGAATGAATATCTACTCATGTCATCGTGATATGAGTAGATTCAACTCATTCATGACATGAAGTCGTAGTGTCATGAATTGTTTCAGTGCTTCATTGTGATGTTATTCAGATCGTTGCAGAAGAGGTAATAAGACATCATCTGTTCGCCATCAAAGATGACAGTGTTCCATTTAAGTGAAATTTTCACTCTTCCATCTCTTTTGCAGCAATTATGTGAATGATATCCGATTCTGAGTACAAACTGAATAGAAAAAAATGTTTTTGAATAATTTGAAGTTCATATAAAAGTAGTTGGTACGAAAGTATCTTTTCATGTAATTCAATGTATATATGAAGGTAGTTGTTTTGAGATGACTGTTTCTTTCAGGTACTCCTTTTTCAGATACTCAGGTTACTGAGAGTACCTAAATTCTTTGCATGATCTACACCTCTTCGTCAAGAGTTAATTTTGAAAATGATTGCTTTTTTCCTTCCTTTGGAAGTTTCTCACATTTTTTGAAGTAAAGCAGAAAAGTAGAAAGCCACATTCTTCCTTTCCCATCTTCAACTTCAATCCATATTGAAAAAAAGTAATAGGAACAGGGAACAGACTGAATAGAGTTGTTTTCTCCCGTAAATTATTGTTTCAGAGCAAATGCGATAGAGTTGCCTTATAGTTATGCAACTAATTTCACTTCAATTCATCTCTAGTCTTGAGTAACTTACTCTTACTTGAATACGATGGAATAGGGTAAAAGTAGAGTTGAACAATTTTTGGAGCATTGTTTCGATATTTCACTAATCCGAAATTTCAACTGTCTAAATCACATAAATTTACTGGTTATGGGTATATCAACGTCATCTTTTTTCATATCTGACAACATATCTGAAATACAATAAGTATTTGTGATTGTTAGCAACTTTCAATACAACATAATGTAGAGAGTAACTTCTAGTTTGAATACGTTGATTTGTAAAAGATCGAGTTACTTATATTTTAAACATATCTACCTATTGAATATTTTGCATTTCTCATTCGCTTTTTTCAGAAATTAGAAAATTGGTATAACATACCTAAATTACATAGGTACTTAAATTTTTTTTTCGATTTCTCGCCACAGAACCGTGTTTATAGATCACTCTAGTGAAATATTTTTGAAAAATCATATTGACCAGGATTCTGTGCACTACAAGCGCAACTTTTCCGTCGTTTATCTATTATCGCAAGATACAAATTTGTATGGGCTCAACAGGCAGAAGTGAATAAGTATTTCAGGGCANCTGGATGGTGGTCTATAGATGCAAACAAATGCCATCTTGCTCTTTTTTGACATGATACCACAACACTCTAGAACCCCTTCTATACAGAATTCACTCAGATCAATAATTGATGTATCTAACTTACATTCATCAAACTTGTAAATTGCTACTCCACCGTTTTTCGTCACACTCCTACAATAAAACGAACGATTGGGGGTTGTGAGTCTCAAAGATCGATTCCAGAATTCCATGACTTGCAATAGACTTGTACCTCACCAATGCAATGCCTAGATGGATTTCGTTCGCTCCTGAGCCCCAAAATTCTCCACAGATACTTCAAAGAGACAGACTATTGAGTCCGGCTTTGTGTTGAACCTTTTTCAAATCAATTTCAGGACATAATCACACACAAGTTTTCCTCGACCACTAACAGCATAACTCTTGAAAAAACGTTTGTGAGGAGATTTTGGACATATTTTTGAGTAACAACAAATTAAAATTCCATAAGGAATAAAGATTCCTCTTTTGGTGCTCAGCTTTTTACTACTAGAAGTAATACAGTAGCCATTTTTTTATCCAATCAACCGCTGGATACTGTCTCAGAATGTCGATGATACTTTATCCATGACAAGTGTCTATCGCAAGTAGTGGGCTTCAGAAATGTTTTGCAATCACTTGGCTGATAACGGTAGGACTATTATCACTTTGCAAGATATCTTGCTTTCATTTTCTATTTTTTCCGCCTCTTCCATTATTCTGATCTGCACAATCTTCACATTTGTACTGTCATCGATGACATGATAGATTCAACTCATTCGTGACATGAGTTCGTAATTTTACGAATGAATTGAGTAATTTATCTTTTAATGTGTTCCAAATTGGTGCTGAAGAGACAATAAGGCAAGTGATTCATCTCGAAACATGGGATGTCCACCTGTGAGAACGATAGTGTTTTATGCAAGTAAAATTTTTTCTCTTTAATGTACTGTATTGTGAAACAATCTTGTTCAATCTGATTCAATTTTATAATAAATTTTTTGAGTACTGACTGAATTGAGAAAAGTGTTTTTCGTATAATTCAATGTTCATATGAAATTATGTTTCGTTATGTTATGTTTCGAAATTATTTTTTCTTTTGTGTAATTCGATATTAACGAGTATATGAAAGTAGTTTTTTCGAGATAGCTTTTTCTTCCAGTTTGTGTCTGAAAGATGATCTTTTAATTTTCGTAGAAAGTTCATTCCGAAATTGATTGTTTTTTTTCTGTCTGTGAAAGATTCTCAAATTTTTTTGTACGAAGATGGAGAAGTAGAAAGGCAGAGCCGTTCTAGCCCAAAAATTTATCTCTCCTAAAAATATACCCCATTCCAATTTGGATATTGATATTAAAATGAATATTTACACTCATTAGTATCGATGAGCAGAACAAAATAGTTCGACAGCCTAGTTGTCTTTGCAGAAAAATTTCGGTCACTTCGACATGAGTGTTAATGAAAAAGGTTAAAGCTATTAATATCACCTTAAACTCCCTAGAGCCTCGGTTTCACTCGTATTCATAATGTCGATGATACTATTGATAAGAAATATAATCTTCAAAATTTCGACAGGTTTTTTTCATCATTTGAATGTATATTTTCATCCATTTCATTTTTGGTGAACTCATTTTCTCTTTCATAGTTATCACAACATTACCCCACTACCGGAAGATACTCGACTACTGTTTATTCGTAATGAATATCAAAAATTATACATGAATTTCCACATATTTATCAATTTTTCGAAACCTTACCTTATACTTGAACATAATATTGTTATTCCAAGAATCTCCATGAACTACAACGCAATGATCAACACGATCATTTAGAACAGTATCAAGAATGATATTGGTGGGTCCATTTTCAAGAATCCAGTCAAGTTCCTTAACCAAATCCATCTCGTTTCTTCTCAACAGAATATCCCGTGCACATTTCATATACTTGGTTAGGATTTTCACAGTGGAGTCTTCTTGGAAATACAGTTTTGATACATTTGAAAGATTCTCATGAAGGTTTTTGAACTGTTCATAATTTTGGTCACGCATAGCCAGCGATACTGCATGCAGCTTGGCATACTCTCTCAGCACTACTTTTTGGTGGTCCAAATTCATTGGTTCCATTCTGTCATATAACTGGTAGCCACGTTTTTTCAAATTTTCCAAAACGATAACCGTTTGATCATTGCATGATGATGTTTGGTAGCATTTGGGTACAGAAATGAAATCTTCTTGAATCTTGAAATCATGTTGGAATTTTATGAAAACTGGGATGAGCTTTTCATAACAGAAAATCTCGCGTTCGAAGGCCACTTTGAGAAATTTGACACTATTTCGTATGTTATACTTCACAACAATACTCACTTCCTTGATCTGATTATCAGAAGTAGTTCCAACGATTCTAGCACAGATCAAACTTGAGAGGTGCCCACCAATAATTCCATCATTTTCTATTACAATGTGATAGTCTTCAAACTTCTCTTCTTCTAGAATTTTTGGAATCCATACACCAATTTTTTGTTTCATTGATGTATCACGAGACATGCTTGTTGCTAGTTGATTGAACAATTTGATGATTGAATAATGTATTAGAATGTTACTTTCTTGAATAATGTAACTTATTGAAACGAGTGAATATCCGAATATTGAAATTCATAGAATTTTCGTGAAACTGTTGATTGAATGTTGTTTTTTTATATCACTGAGAAAACTGAATGAATGAATTCAATAATTTAAGAATTTCGAGAACTGTGTCAATATTGGTAGGCGACTATCTGCGTTATACGTTGACAAAACATTCAACTAAAAATAAACATATCAGTATGAAGTAATTTAGGCTAATTAGAATGTAGAACGGTGCGAGGACGAATGATTTTTTTTATGTTCCAACCACTGCTACGGGAAATTCATTTTCGATCGAAGTACATAACAAAATGATTTTTCATACATTTCTGTACCTATTTTATACGCTGCTTACTAACAAAGTTTTTTCGAAACATTCAATAATAAATGATTTTGGGTTGAAGAACTTCTTGTTTCACAACGAACTGAATAAGTTGATAACACATAAACACTATTCATGAAAATAATTAAACAATTTTCACAAATATTTTTGTGATTCCAGACGCGTTTTGCTAACAAAATCATTTTGTTATTCATCTTTCACAATAATATCCTTCGGTACTGTCAAGAGAAAGAGGGACGTAAAATCATTTCATTTTCACAGGGATTTAATTTCCTTTCTGGCAACCCTAATATTCAAACCAACCAGATATAGAAGTGCAATGTTTTCCTAACTTAGGCAAAAATAATGCTACATGTGAAGCTTGTCTGTAAAATTTTTGTTTCAGTTGTATTATTTTTTGTCAAAAAACAGCCTGTTGAATGAATTTATTCTACACAATAGATAGCAAATTTCCCCTTAATTTTTTAAATTTGTGTTCACCAGAACAATGATGGTAATTCTAAATATAATTATAATCAACCTCACCAGTAGTTTTATATATCATCGATGCTCAAACAAACTTCAATTTTCCTAGATTTATTCGTTAACAACATTTTACGTCTTCTGAATATCATTCACTTGAATCGAAAGGAGTAACATTTTAGGGGAGATCAATTTTTGGAAAAGGAAGATTTTGACATTCCATTTTTAATCTTTACAGAAAAAATGTGTGAAACTTTCAAAGAAAGGAAGAAAGCATTCAATTCCAAAATAAATACTTCACAAAGATATGTAGATCATGCAAAGAAATTACTTTCAGACACAAACTGGAAGAAAAAAACAACTACTTCTATATGAATTTGATCTATACAAGAATTTTCCTATTCAGTTTGTACTTCAACCACTCGTTATGGAATTGAGTCACATATCACGCACAGGGTTGTTGCACTATATAGTAATAGTGAACAACATGAAAGTGAAATTTTCACTCTTTCATATACTATATTTTGCAGAAATTCTGTGAATGATATCTGATTCTATTCCATAACGAATGTTTGGAGTACAAACTGAATAGGAAAGAATTGAATAATTTAATTTTCATATAAATGTAGTTGTTACGAAAGTATTTTTTCGTGTAATTCAATGCATATATGAAAGTAGTTGTTTCGAGATGACTTTTTCTCTCTCTTTGCGTCTTAGAGTAAATTCTCTGCATGATCTACACATCTTCATCACGAATTGATTTTTAAATTGACTGTTTTTTTTCCTTCATTTAGGAGTTTTTCACATTTTTTGTAGTAAGATGGAAAAGTAGAAAGCCAAATTCTTTCTTTTCCATCTTCATCTTCAATCCACATAAAAAAAGTAATAGGAATAGACTAAATAGAGTTGAAGCCGCGTATATGTTGTCCAATAACGCATTTAGTCAAGCTAGCGTAGAGATACGTAACATATGGAAACCTCTAATCAAGAGAAAAACGACCAACTCCTGCCAAATGGTCATCTCCCGCTAAAACCAATGAAGCGGAGAGAGGGAAGAGGGGATAGGTGAAAGCACTCGAATGACCTATAAATAGTCAGATCTCGGAGGAAAAAATCCAATTATCACCCGAAGACGATTGTGGATACTAACAATCGAAACGTCGTGACGTAACTTGGTTTTGAATCTTTTAGTTTTCATTTTTCAATTTTTGTTAATAATATTTTTTAATTTTTTAATATTCAGCTTTTATTGATATTTACATTTTTTATTTTTTTGGTTGTTGCTTGTGAAAAATTCCACATTCCTCATTAAATTTAAAAAGAAACCTTGCCGTAGCGGTTCGTCAGTATCTGGATGATAGATTTCACTGACACTGTATTGGAAGAAGAGGATGCATTGAGTGGCCCCCTCGATCTCCAGATTTATCCCCCTTGGATTAATTTTTGTAGGGCCATTCAGAAAGTAAAATATACGCCACTCAGCCAGGCTCGTTAGCAGAGTTACGTCAACATATTATTACCGAATGTCGTCAAATAACCCCAGACATGCTCCAAAACGTCAGACAACGTTTTGAAACGAACTTATACTCATATATGGCAGTGAATGGAGAACTCTTCGAGCATCTACTATGAATCAATGTAGTTTGGAATGATCTTAGTGAAATTTATGCACAATTTTCCAATGTTCAAGTTATGTAACTTTTTCAATTTTTGTTCTTTTTTCGTGAATTGTTCACATTACCTTTCGAATAAAATGTGTATTGAAAAACGAAACAGTTGTTTTTCCTGCAATAGAGCGCCAAAATGAAAAGTTAAGTAGCGAATACTCACATGTCTGAATTCCTCATGGAATTACCTTTTCAATGATGTGTCACCCTTAGTACTTTCCCTTAACGAAATGTATGAGTGAATAAGGGGTGGGGGAAGAGGTATGACAGTTGCGGTTATGATAGGAAGATGTCCCCCTTGAATTACAAATCGACGTGTTTTTGCATTTTTTTTCACAACACATGTGTTTTGAAGATATTCGATCTGTTTCGTTTTCGGTGCCCCACCAGGTATTAT